CTGCTGAGATTGCAGCTTTATTAATGTCCTCAGAATGTTCCGGTCAAGGCACACTCCATGTTGGCTTGAAAAATATGAAATTAATGACCTGAGAAGTGCTATGGGGGAATCTGAGAAACCTAGTGTTTCAATGCGGTAGGAAAATTGCATTCTTTCCAGGGAATCAAAAAGCAGCTGAAGTAAACAGTTATGACACAGAGTTCTGATCTGCTATGTGGTATATTGGTTTTCTTCCATCCTGTAAGGGAAGATGGACAATTACTTCAAGTCTGGAATACTGCAAAACAATTTTTTGTAGACCTTGGCTGGTGGCAGATAATTCATAGCTAACTTGAAAGCACATCAAGCCAATCACTTTAAGTACGGTTGAGCAGTAATTGTTTATTATCATCTTATGGGTTGTTTTTTTGATCTTTTATTTTCAGCTTTCTAAATGAATGAATAATACTTTGCTCCTGTTTTCATCATTTGTATGTTTAAACGTAACACTTTACATTGTAGAGTCAAGCATCAAATCAAGCCCTCAAAATTTTTGAAGTGTTGCCACCTTCTGTGACTTGTCAACACTGAACGATATTGGGGTGCTTTGAAGCATATGTTTTATGGCACATGTTCCTGTGCTGATTTCTTCTTAAGTTGCTATATCCTTTGCTTCTTGTTTCTGTTTGGTAACCTGCAGTTATTACAACACTATTGTATCTGGTAAACAAGTCTTTAATGAGAGACAGGGCAGTATGGATTTCTGCATAGCTGATACCAAATTGGAGTGTACGATAGAGTCCGTAGAGAAAGCTTCCATGGAATCCATAAGATGTTTACCTGGTGCAGATTTAAATGCTTAACTGAATAAAACAGTCTGTATTCTGTTATCTAAGTTCTTTTTTTTTATTAATTACTCATGATGCTTTCTATTATGTTCTTTTTCAAGAATTTGGTATAGACAGAGAGGTCTTTTAAACTGATAGTAGAACATGTCCAGTTCTCCCTGTATAGTACATGCAATGTTCTATTATAGTTATGATCTGCCTGATGGAGGAGTGTTTGGAGTGACAAATCAAACATTCAGCCTGATCTTAGCTTGACTTCCATTTCACTTCAGAATTAAACTATCATTACAACAGCTCCTCTGAGTTTAACACCAGGCAGTGCAACATAGAGCAGCCCAGAGTCTGGTATAAACTGGTCCATAATGGTCCAAATTTGATCCAAGTAACCATGGAATTTATGGGCAGAACAAGGACAATTACTTTCTACAAGGAAACTATTTCTCCTGCCTTTTTCTCTGCATTGAGAAAATGTGATAGGTCATGAAAAAAAATATGAAACCTTTCGTGGCTCTGAGTGGATAAAATGGGTTTGTTTTTTTTTATACTGTGACCTTTTGTTAAGCCTGATTCATAAATTAATATGTTGCTGTGCCAACAGTGTTTTAAAATGAGGGCCGTGTGACATAGAGCTTGGCTCTTAATTTTGAAAAGGGAAAGCCTATAATTGGAACCAGCTGACATCTAACCCATGTCTTTTATTCATGGGTATAATCTAGCATGAATCTGTGCCAAAATAGATGTGTTTAATCTCTACCCATGGGTGCCAGTCCGTGGTTTCAGCA